TCCAAGATGGGGGTGGTACCTGCAAAAGAGACTCAGATGCTAAAGTTAGTGTTTGTGGGTGTATGAGTCTCGTATAAGTAATGCACGTACCTTTGTGTGTATTAGGGTTTTGTTGGGCCTTGGGCCCGAGATCAGTTTATGACCTAATTGGATAGCGAGCCGATGTCGCCTAGCGTGTGTCCGAGGTCACTCCGCGTTGTGATGCCGAGCTCGAGCTCGGCATAGCGGTACGAATAGTACACTAGCCCCCCGAGCTCCGAAGACCGTAGGTCGAGGAGTTAAGACCGAGCTCGACAAGGGGTCGTGACTTTTCGCGTACGCCTATTTTTCATGACGCCATGTGTCATAACTGTCACCTCGTTCCCGTAACGCGTGGGCGGCGCGGTGACAAGATTGTATTTTTATTTGTTTGATGACGTGGCCTCTTTGGGCCGATGTGGTGTTCCGAGGTCCATGTTTCATGGTCGGGCTGAGGAGCTCGGCAATAATAAGCTTACTGCTTGGTTAGGTTGGTAAACCTTTGACGGAGTCAGAAGATTGGTGAGGGACAAGTTGGCAACTCGGCTGGCCTACCGTAAGTCCGCTATCATCGTTAGGGTCACCGCATCCGAGGTATTGTCCGTTTTGGCGCTCGTTGGGCTGTCACGGTTTTGACCTTGAAAAGGCTCCTCGGTGGGTTAAGGAGGAAGGGTGTTTATAAACTACCATTAGCCTCGACTCCTAAGCGATGTGGAACTTTTAGGCATACCGGAACAAGCCCCCCAGTCGATGCTAAGGAGCAAGAGTGGCCTAGGCCCTCCTTCTAGTGCCAATATTCCTACCGTAAGTCCGCTGTCATCGTTAGGGTCACCGCATCCGAGGTATTATCCGCTTTGGTGCTCATTGGGCCGAGATTATAAGGGACCAAAATAGGTTTTTAGCCTAAATATAATACACTAATTGCTAATATTTTTCGAAAAAAAAAAAAACTGGTCGTAGTCAGAGAAAATTTGCAAATATCAGACAGTGGGTAGCTAGTTATAGGATCCACCACCTGGGGTTACAAAAGAAAGTCAGTTATTTTCGTGGTATGATAATAATTCATAAATTGTATACCATAAATAGAATGAATTTTATGGAAAAAATGCAAATTAATTAAGAGCTAAACCAAGATAGCAATAAGCTTGATTTCTTAACTAATATTTTGAATTTTGGAATCTAAATTTAAATTAGATTTCAAATTATTAATTTCTATTTTTTTAGTAGTTTTAGCAGTCGACTAGTTTTTTTCAATTATTTTTTTATTATTAAGGAAAGATAACAAGGATAAAATAGAACTTATTTTATAACAATCGTAATTAATTGTTATTGTTTTAATGTATTTATTTATGGGTCTTGATAATATTTTTTATGATAATTCTATCCCCCAATTGGATCAAGGCAAACGTCTGTGAAAAGATCGTTTGGATTTAAGAAAGAGTTCCTAGATTTTTTCATGATTCGTATATTCCTGTCCAAAAATCACATATATTAGGAGAAAGTTTTTTATTCTTAATTTATTTTAATTTATTTATAGGAGGAAAGATTTCACTAATAAATCAATTTTAATCACTAAGAGTCGTGAATATTTCTTATGAATGATATGTGAAAAAAAAAAAAAAAAAGTTAAACAAATGAACAACTAGTTCCTTCATTGAACTAGCTAGTCGTTTGACGGTCTAAGTACTGCGCGTAGACACGCAGAAATTTTGAGTTAACCTAATTTTTTTAAAACTCCTTTCATGATCAGATTCCCCACAAGGGCCTTAACTACCCCAATTGATTTATTTTTTAGCTTCGTTTGTGGTTGGCAAGTTCATTAATTTACTCTAACGTTGGGAGTTGGAACCAAATATATTATTTATTTTTCAAAACTATATATCTTAATCTACCAAGTAACTAGGGATGACATCGGGACGGGTCGGGTACGGGTTTCATGATACCCGTCCCCGTCTCCGCGAGTCAAACTCATTCTCGTCCCTGTACCCGTATCCGTCGAGTATGCGATTTTTATCTCCATTCCGTTCCCGTCGGGTATCAGGTATACCCGTACCTGCACCCGTACCCGTACCCGTACCCGTTAATTTTTTTATTTTTTATTTTTTGTAAAAAAATATGATATTTTTAAATTATTTTTTATTATATTATAATTATAATTAGGTTATTTCTCTATCTTATATTATAATAAATAATCACACATAAAAAAATATTAAAATTCTTTAATATATATAAATTGAAAGTGGGTATTAAATTAAAAATAGAAACAAGGATGGGTACGGGTACATGGCAGGTTAGTACATACCTGTACCCGTACCCGTACCCAATTTAATATATCGGGTTTTACTCGTACCCGTACCCGGTCAAACCGAATATTTCCCGTCAAAGTTGGGACGAGTTCGAGTATTACCCGCGAATACGGGTATATTTACCATCCCTATAAGTAACAAACCCTATCAAAGTAGAAAACTTCTCTTAGGATATAAAATGGCTTACGAGCCATGTTCATTTTCCAATAATAGCCTTGTTTGAGATGCCTCTTGTCTAGCTCTCCTCTAATTTAAGATGGTATAAGATGCTATCTCTCTCTCTC